GGTGTGGGTGTGAGTGTGCGTGTGGGTGTGGGTGTGGATGTGGGTGTGGGTGTGGGTGTGGGTGTGGGTGTGGGTGTGGGTGTGGGTGTGGGTGTGGGTGTGGGTGTGGGTGTGGGTGCTGGATGTGGGTGTGGGTGTGGGTGCGGGTGGTGTGGATGCGGGTGTGAGTGTGGGTGGGTGTGGGTATGGGTGAGGGTGTGGGTGGGTAGTGTGGGTGTGGGTGGGTGTGGATGTGGGTAGTGTGTAGGTGTGGGTGTAGGTATGAGTGTGCCTCTTCCAAGGGGAAAAAAGCCAGGCTCCAAAGTTGGAGTACAGCTGGAGTACGGTGGAGTACAGGTGAGGTACAGCTGGAGTACTGTGGAGTACAGATGGAGTACAGTATAGTCTAGTGAGTACGTACTCCTTGTACTCCAGGTAGACTCCACTGTACTCCAGCTGTACTCCAATTGTACTCCACCTGTACTCCGGAGTACAGGAGTCTCGCTTTTCCCCCCTTGGTCTCTTCACTCTTATAACACTCACAATCACACCCACACCCACACCAATCTACACCTATACCCCACATCCTCTTTTTCTGGATTTGAGCTTTTCTAAATTTCATCTTTCTAGATTTATATTTTTCTAGATTTTTTTTTTCTAAATTTTTTTTTCTAAATTTTTCCATTTCTAGATTTTTTGTTTTCTAGATTTTGCGACATATTCAAAATAATGAGTCACATATTTTTGTTGTTTGTTTTTTCGATGACTAATTCTACATACAATTTATTGAAGTTATTTTTTCACAAGCAATCAAAAAAAAAGAGTAGCGCAATATTTTTCCTATCGTTTTATGATTCATACATGAGAAAAAGAAAATGAACAAAAATCATCTTGCACTCAAAAATAATAGATTAATGTTAAAAAGAAATTTTTAATAAGAAGAAAACTTTCAAGAAAAAAAAAAACAGAATAACTTTTCTTTTATTATTGAAAAATTCTTGATTTTCTTATACATGTAAATATATTTTAATTATAAGTCGCTATCATCAGCCTCAGGTAATGGCTGAGATGCTGCATCTTGTATCTCTTGTTCATATTTTTGAAGCATTTCCTCGTCGATGTGTATTTCAGATGGCTGAAAATAAATAAATCTATGTTATGAAAGAAACAGGAATTTTAAATTATATCAAAACATACTGATAAATTAATTGCATCAACAAATTGAAGCTGATTAACTCCAAGTAAGCTTCGTGCAAACCAAAGAAATGGTTTGTCAAAATTATAATTTGATAGAGCACTAATATTATAATATTGTATATTATGTTTTCGATGAAATGTTATTGATTCAGCTTGTAATTTTCCATCTTGGACATCGACTTTATTTCCACATAAAACAATTGGAATATTTTCACAAACACGAATTAAATCATTATACCAATTGACAATATTTTGATGAGTTATACGTGATGTTACATCAAACATTATAATAGCACATTGTCCACCAATATAATAATCATCAGGTAAGCTTATTATTCAATAAACAAATACAAAAAATGAATAACAATCATTATTTCAATAGCTTACCGTCAAAATTTTCTTGACCTCCTGTATCCCAAACATTAAAAATGATTTCATCAAAACTTGTATGAAAATTTAAAGGATGTACATTGACACCAATAGTAGCTTCATATTTCTTTTCAAGTTCACCTGTTAAATGTCGTTTAACAAATGTTGTTTTACCTAAAAATGTTCATTATCATACGTTAGATAAAATACGAAGATAATCAAACATACCAACACCACCATCACCAACTAAAATTAATTTAAATTGTGGTATATTTTCTTAATTTATTGCCATTGCTGTACTATCAAAATGAAGAATACGTGTAAATGTGCAATAGAGTAATTAATGTGCACATATATATATACTAGCATATCGCAACGGAGGTCGCTACAGTCAGCGTTATGTCCCAATTGCCTGATTTTTTTCTCATTCAGTGTAGCGAAACTGTGCAATATGTATATATCATGTCGAAGTTACACCTTTTGTCGAAGTTATTTTCATGATTTAATTCAAGATCAATAATCAAGAGATGATCGTTATCATGTTAAAGCATATAATTAAAGTTGACTTTTCAGCTCAACAATATTTATAGCTACATTTATTTACAAGTAACGTGAATCGAAAATCGATTCACTGGGTCCTAGACTGACAGAATTCACCCATGCAAACGTTTGAGCAGCAAACAATGGCGACTATTTCTTTGAGAGATCCTGAAAATTCCGAAGGCATAGCCGCATAAGTTCAAGACAGACGACGATAGCGCATGAAGATTAAGTAAAAGTGGGGCACGGATGCGACAAACACAAAAAAAATGACGAGCACAGTAACTAAAAAAACGCATTCGAAGTCAACGCCAAAAACAGGTGCGAAGCAGTGCCCAAACCACGGTTCTCGCTTAGAGGAAGCTCTCAGCATCGTCACCAATACAATACCCTCTTGACTAATTCCTGCAGAGAGGCAAGCGGTTGAGTCCCTCCTGGCTATTGGACCATGCGTTTCCGAAACTTAGCGATGGAGGGATAGAAGTTCCTTATTGGAACTCCGCCTGCCCCCTTCACTTGCTCCGTCATTATATACGGCTGCTCCGCGTGCCATGTCAGTGGATCCAGCCATAATATGTATCACAGAAATGGTCATTTGTGCCATAGAAATTGTCATTTGTGCCAAGCTCTTGTTACAGACAAACAGACACAGGTGAATTATGGATTCTAGACACTAGCCTTTCAGTCTAGGGAATAAACGTTTTGTACACTTTTCAAAATGTTTATCAATAAATGTAGCTATAAGTATTGTTGAGCTGGAAAACCAACTTTAACTATATGCTTTAACATGATACGATCATCTCTTGATTATTGATCTTTAATGAAATCATGAAAATAACTTCGACAAAAAGTGCACCTTCGGTACAACATATACATATGTAGTTTCGCAAGACAACCGAAAAAAAAGTGTTTGAATATGTCATAGTATTATGTAATTCTATGTTAACATCGAGTAACACTGGAGTAACAATATTCTGAAACCACTTCGTAAAATAATCATTGTAAAAAAAATGACACATGAGTTTATTTTTTATGAAGAAATCTCACTGTCCTTGAAAAAATACAGTACAATAAACGGTCATATTCGATGTTCTTTATCTGAGCTTTGGAATTTATCAGCTACTAGAAGTTTTTGTGCTATCTACTAACTGTTCTAAATTGAGTATTTTTCTGAATCGAAACTATGATGTAAAACTTTTAAAAAAAGTGTACAATTCTAGTTGATCTATTTCGTTCTAAGCATTTTAGTCTGGTTTTATTCATATTAATCTCAATGAGAAAAGCTATATCTGAAGGGAAATCTCATCTTTTCGGATGTTAAAATCAAAATTTTTTCGATTTTTCATTTTTCATCGCTAATATAGCTTCAAAATGTCTTCTGTCAAATGCTATATAAAAGAGAGCTCTGCATCGTTCGTTAGTACTTTTATTAAATCAAAATCTTGATATTCCTAGTAGAAAAACTTGGACTGCGATTATTCTTTTTATGTAAAATTCTCCTACTGATAATTTTTAAGGGTCTTGAGAGCATCGGTCATGACCCTCTAAAACCATTGAACACGACCAATTTTCGATTACTTCAGTTCGAAAAAAACGAAGTTTTCTCCCACGCTGTATGTTCGATTGGGCTTAATTTTTTTTTGTATGAGTACTTTGGTCAAAATGGAGTGCGTGCTGTTTTTCTTTTTTTAAAATGTTATTCCTACGAAATTCTACAGCCTTTAAAAAAATATTATTATTGAAAAAACACGTTTTTTTGATGGTGCTTTCAGCATTTTCTTCTTCGGAGCTCTAGAACGATATTTTTGAAAGAAAAAAAAAATACACACCACGACTTGATCCTAGCTTTTCCAAGAAAAATCGTAGTTCGAAAAAATAGAGTCCATCCTGTTTATCGTACCGGTAGGAAACGATAAAAACGATGCAAAAATGTTTTTTATCCCTTAAGTTTTACGTCTTTTCTATAGATTCTATTGAAATCGTTTCCGTATGTTCTTTTCTTTGCGTCCTTCTCTGTACTTTGTTTTCTTTACATCCTTTTCTGTACGTCCTTTTCTATACGTCCTTTCTTGTATGTGCTTTTCGAATAGTAGCAGTCTGTAAAATAAAAAAAAAGGTTATACTATGTACACACAGATGACTGTGGGTCGCGGCTCTTTGAGAGATGCTTCGTGGCCCCACACCGTGACACAGATATAAAAGATCAGTTACGTGGGCATTTTTTTTTTGAGCAACTGAATTCGAATTTCAAATTTTCACATGTGTGATAAATGCCTGTGTCGTGAATGGACACACAAAATGACGTAAAGAAAAGAACGTATAGGAAACGACGTATTCTTTTTTTTGGTCCAGAGAAAAATGTTATATGTAAAATGGTTTTATTTCATATTTAGCGGTATTTTTAGTTTCTCCAAAAAATGATTAGTTATTGTTTGACTAGCGTTTCCCGAAGAAATCATCAAGCGTATTATATGGCACAGTGTGTGGGATGGGACAACTGTGGTTTATCTTTTCAACCACACCCACAGCCACATTATTTGATTAACCTTGAAATAATATTTCATCAATAAACATCATTCTTTCAGTGTCTTTTTGCAATTTCTTCGTTTTCTGATAAATAATCTACAAAACAATTTATCAGAAAAACGACACGATTCTTAGATTTTTGATGAAATTATTTAATTTGATATTTTTTACATTAACATTAAAAAAAATCTTCACATAAATTTTTCTTTTGTAAATAAAAACTAATGAACTTGATCTTAATTATATTTATATTGTTTTTGATAGATTAAAAGTTAAACGGAATCAGAGAAATAGATGAGCTGTTATTTTATTTGTAAAGGTCTATAATTTTAACTGAAATAAAAACTGTAACAATTAAAACATTTTTGATGGTTTACTCTTGCATTTTTTCTTTTTTCTGTATTTCATTGATACAAATTCTTTCTTTTTTTCTTTATCTATGTACATTGAAATTAATCATGATATTAAAACTCATAAAAATACGTAAAATATTAAATAAAACAACTAGAAATATAGTTTCGATACTCCCTAACGAATGCAAAATACAAATTCGTTCACATACTTAGTTGTTCATCAAAAACAATTGACGTCATTAGTAAATGATATTCAAAGTGATATCTATACAATTAATATTAGAATTCACTAAATCTTCTGTTTATATAAAATGATATTTGTTAAAATGCACGTTATAAACGGAATGGGTCTAAGTACGTGAACAGAATATTCAAACTCGCACTCTCCTTCTCTCTTATAGTTACATTATATGTATAATAAAACTTCAATACTCTCACTAATACATGAAGTAAGTTTTGTATGTGAGATATGATCATAAAAGATCTAAAAAATCTCTTATTTTTCTAAATCATATTAACTTTCATTGCTTTTGGGGATAATCAAAATAAAAAAAAAAGAAGTAAATGTCATTTATTGTTGATACACCTATGGTTCAATAGAGCCAGAATATATAACGATAACCGGTATCATTTATGTATCTAGTACAACAAGAAGTGACTTAAAAAATCTTTAGATATGGGGTGTGGGTGTGAGTATGACACAACGAGATGGCAACACACACTCACACCCACCCTTCTCAACATTTGACAAAATAAAATTAAAAACATCTCATTATCTTTATACTTTTATTTCATATTATTAGAGCGTTTGGTCAGATCTATGTACAAAGTAAAAATAGTTTCATTTGTTTGTCTCCTTTCTAATTTCTCTCGATGAGATTTTCAGTTACACAGTGAGCAATAGCGTGGGTATCTGATGAAAAAATGAAAGTGATTTTTTTTGCGATTTATATAATGTCCAATATAATTTAGCCATTGACCGACTTTTTGCTTTAAAAAAATTATTCTAGCTCTTTAAAAGCTTGGCAAAGTTCTGGGTACAAAAAATGGTTAGATTTCGATCATCTTAGAAAAAAGTATTCTTTTCCAAAGAATATAAAAAAGACCTACGGAATAAATCGTAGAGCTCTTACTCTATTGTTCTATATGAAAAAGTTTGTTCTAACAGGTTTTCTGTTGAAAAAAGTATGCATACTTTCTCAACGAAAAATTTTCTAAAAACTCGACACTGACTGAATGGTTAAAAAGTTTACCACATATTCACAACGTACTATGTTCGGGTCTCAACGCTATCAACATAGAATGACCATAACTAAATCATTAACGGCTGTTTGTTTTGGGTCACCCACTCAGTAGCAAACTGACTACCTGGCTGATTTACATAAATAGGCTCTTGTGGCTAATATGCGGTAAGCCAGTATGTACGAAAAGCTCAAGTGATTAAGCCGACGAGCTGTGAGTCAGGCCAGCCTTCTGTCAAACGCTACAGCAGTAATAGTTGTAGAAAAAATATCGGACTATCGAAACTGTCTCTAGACAGCACCCTATACTGTAAGGTCGTCGAAAGGCAGAGTATTCTTCTTCTTCTAAAAGCTGGTGCTCAGTAAATACACCTAGTATAAAGATGCATAAATGTTTCTGGACTGAGATACAAGTTTTCTGCATTCTTTTCTCTCCAGAGTGCTGTAAAAGAAAACTAATAAATTTCACTGGATTTCAAAAAACTTCAACATAAGTTAAAAGCAATAGTTCCAAGACTTCAAAAATCTCTCTTAAAATTTTCGTAAGACTTCACAGGACTTTGATATACTTCATGAGATTTCAAAAGACTCCGTACGATTTCACAAAACTACATGATACTTCAATATTAAACTCTCTGCTGTTACTGCGTCAGGATTTCCTGGCGTATTTTACATTGAAAATCTTCTTTAACAAATGCCACTTTCTTCTCATCAACTTTTCTATTCGATACTAAAAATTAATATTTCTACGGACAAAATGCTTTTTTTTGGCAGACAATCAACCATGTTGATATGCTCTATAGAAACTGCCCATTGTGAGACTTCATTTTGTAGAAAATCATCGTTTACACTAAGCTACAATTGAAAATAATCGAAATCTATAAACACTTTTCAAATATATACAATTTAGGCAAGAGTTAATTTTTGAAAAAAACAAAAAATTTCTTTTTTTATTGGGTCTGTTTTTATCAAAATATTAAAGTAAAACGTATGATAAATTGTGTAGAATCGCCTGTTTTGCCTTTCAGTAATGTTTTGCTCTCATCTAAATAAGTTTAAGTCAAAATAAAAAGATATTGTCAATAGTTTGTTATAAAGAGCATTAAATTGTAATTTTAGTTGATTGATTTTGATTGTCTCTATCCAATTCTAAACAGACAATTATTGGGACGATTATTTTCTCCTAAGACTTTTTACACGTTGGTTTTATTATAAACTTTTTTTTAATAAATAAAAATTCGATTATTTTATTGATTCCTGAAGAACTATTTTGGTAATATTAATCGATACTGATTACGTTTTTTTAAATATAAAATTAGTTTAAATGTTAAATATAAAGACACATATTCTTTTAATTATTGAAAATTCATCGAAGTAATCAGATAATTTCAATTGAAATATTTTAAAATCTTCATTAAATCGATCGATAATTTAATTTATATGATGATCCAGATCTTTCTTATTGAAATTTTATTTTTTTTAAC